CTTCATGGCCACTTTCACTGAGCAGGTCGTCTCCTATTTCCGGCATTCATATACTCCTAATATGTACCTAAGTTTTGCTCTTGTTGGGCCAAGCTATAGTCATATAAAAACTTCTCTTCCCACTATATTTTGCCATTAGGTTGCCATCTAAAGGTAATTTTACACTGATGTAATTTCACTGACCTCATTGAAATTATCATTGATTTTTAAACCACTGTAAATGAATGGAGAATCAAGAGCCTGGTTTCTAGTAATCATGTCCACTTGCTTAGGGCTATAGTGCTCTATGTACGTGTGCCCACCCTCCCAACATGGAATTAAAACTTGTCCAGAGCTATCATATTAACCTAACCGTCATATTAATCAAGCTGCTTTGGCATTTTGGGGATGCAGATACAGGCAGTCATAGCACTCGAAAATCTCAGCTGCTGACTTCAAAGGATAAATTATTTTTTATGCCAAAAGTCACATTCCTCCCTAACAACAAAGCACTGCTTAAAGATTCTCTTCACATGAAAGAGCATAGTTGGATTTCCAGAGCCACTGCTTGCATTGGAAATAAAATCCATGGTAGTTTTTAGGACCTGCTGAATCTCAGAGCTCTTTGGATGGAGAAAGGAATGAAGTGCATCACTAACAAAGCCCCAGCTGCTCACCACATGAGTGGATTAAAGCTGACAATTGTCAAGGGCATGATGATGGCTGGAATCCACAATGCTTTTGCTCCAAACTGCTCTTGTGCATCTGGTGCATTGACTTATTTTATTAATGTTCTAGATATAGTTAGACAATGAACATCCAAAGCAAAGTGTCCATATAGAGAGAAATGCCAGAAGTTTCCGAGGTGGGCCAAGAAGGAAGGTTTGTTTTGTCCCTACAGTTTTTCAGTGGAGGGATTTATTCTACTATTGTTAACTCGAGTGAGTGGTGTTGGATGGTCCAGATTGAAAGTATTCTGATTCTAGCCACATCTGAGTTTAGACAAAGCAAAAGAAGAATTTAACAGAATGATAATGAAGGAAATGGTTGGTTGCCTTTAACTTTACCTGAGTTAAAAGCCAAGTGTACTGCAAATGCATACTGGCAATCCTCTAAGAATAAGCCTGGCTTGCACCTGCTTTGGATCCCTCAATCACAATCAAAGCTAAAAGGTTTGCAGAGGTCCATTTAATCCCTCCAGGTTTACTTCTCTTTCCATCTGTAAAGCTCAGCGGGTGAAGGTAATGGCTCTAACTCCCTTGTCACTGAGACTTTTTTATGATGTCACATCTGGCTTCTCTCTCTCCGTCTACAAACTCTAGTATGTCACTTCCGGTGACCTCTTTCAAAGAACTTTCTCATAATGACCCTGTCTTTTCTTTTACTGTGATTCAAGACATAAGCAATGACAATTTCTCACCTGGACTTCATTTGCTGCTTTACTTAAATCTTACTTTATAGGTCCTTGAAGGAACTCAAGGTAGCCATGAAGAGCATGGCATTTAAATCTAGGAATCATAGATTTTAGAAGAAGGAACAGCTGAACTGCTGGACTTAGTATTGGTGCTGATATTATAACAGGGTTTAGTAAGAATACTTATTACTTTGCGGGCATCTGTTTAATCCTTTGTGACACTCCTAAGCTAGGTACATAGATATAATACAATTCATGCACCTTGGCTTCATGCAAATTGTAAAGGAGTACAGCTGCCATTTTATTGGGAGCCACCACCCTTCACTTGGCTGACCCACCCATTGCCACTAACCTTGCTTTCTTATAACTCCTTTCTCTTGCTCCTTTCCACCATTCCCTGAACTTGTGGAAGGAGGGGGACCTTTGACATTCTTGGTTTTTGGAATGGAGCTGTACAGTCTAGAGGTTTAACAGAAAAATTACTGTCACAAGGACATGGATGTTAAGGTGGGTGCTCAGATGACAGAAAAGGGACACAACTGCTTGCTCCAGCAGTGCACCAGAAAGCAGATGACTTGCAGACTCTATACAAGATATGCAGATGATGTCTTAGGCACCTGTTGGGTCACTTGTCCCTTTGCTATGAGATCTCTATAAATTGAGCTAGCAGTCCCTCTGCAGTGTCTATTTTAATGTTTTCATTTTGCTGCTTGACCTGCCAGCCGGGCTGTTTGCTACTGTTTTAAATATGTCATTGCTTTTGCTTCCCTGGCAATTAGCAGCAAAGGGCCCTGCCAACAGGGCTCCTCTGCCAATGCGGGGAGGGGGGGGCATGGCAAGCAGCAAAACAAAAACATTAAAGGAGCCCCTGCAAGGGCACTTCCAGTGTGATTTACAGAGATCCCTTGCTATGAGCTGTCCCAGAATTCTGGTTGGAATCAAGCCATAAAATCTAGCAGGCTTTCTGGAGAGAACAAGAAAAGCAACTTGGAGAGAGGACCAGGGTCAAAGGAGGGCACAGGACACTGGTAACAGTATACTTCTGTTTGAAACCCAGGTCATACAGATGCAGCTGGAAAAGGCTGAGGTGGTGGGCTCCACTCATTCAGCATGATGGGTATCCACAGATCTTGTTGCTAGAGGCCATGGATAGCTAAAGTATTGCACTCAGGCCCCTGTTTATGGGTATCAACTCTTCTGAACTGCTCCAGGCACTTAATGCCCCCCAACAGCCATGGATAATATATTCTGTGGTTGGTTGTACCCAGCCTTCACACTAGCAAGTGCCCCACTCCTGTGGTCTCCAGCACATAAGAAGATTTTGTCCCGGGGCCACCTTCCCTAGGTGGTCTGGTTCATTACTGTACATTTGATACTACCACCACACACACCCTGCGATCTTGACCCCAGTCTTGTTCTATCCCCCAGAACACAATGTAATGTATACTCAGTCCTCCCCAACAAACTTCACCCCCTTACTTAGGCAGCTTCCTTGCATTATCTCCTCTTCTTCCTCCCTCAGGAACTTTCTGAGTGCTGCTGCTCCCCTTAGCTTTTTTCCAGCAAGACACTACACCTGTGGTCATCATGCATCAGCCATACCTCTGTGGGTCTAGTCATTGCTGTGGAGTAAGTCAGTGAATGTCACCACACTCATGCTCTGCTATTTTTTGTGGTTTTCTGCCAGGCAAGTAACCAGCAGAAATGGCCAAGTAAGCACACACAAGGAAATTTGTTCACCAGATATCTGTAATAGTCACAACTTTTTAGAGCTCCAGCGTATAGTGATTGGCTGACATTTGCTTGTATCTGCTTCTACTATTTAGTAAAGTTACCACATAGTAATATCCAAAGTAAATTTATTACATGGTAAAAAGTTTTGTGTATCCACATTCTAAGTTTCCAGTGCTGTGGATACAGCACAGATTCCCCCAAAACATCTTCCACTAGTTTCAAAAACCCTTCTGGGTCCCAAGTAAAGTCTACACTATATGTTAGCAGGTTCACAAAAGGTACTGTACTAACCATATCAAAGCTTTCATATTTTAATGAAATGTGTTTAACATAGCATGCTGTGTCCTAACTCATATCACTTAGTATTGAAATTGGGATTCTGTTAGAAAATAATTTTCCATAAGACCTCTCTCTTGTCATTAACAACATCCTGTCTCCTAATCTTAATCCAATACATATATGTTTTAGACATGAATTAAAATATTTAGCCACACATTAAAATATATTTAAAGTGTATTATTTTGATGCCATGCAATTTGTAGCTTTGGATACCAGCTAAAAATAATCTATGAAACCAATCCTTTATAATCTTTTTACCCTCAGTAGTTTTCTAAAAGGTTTTAAAAAATGTTTTAAAGGTTGTTGGTATATTCCATCCCTAAAACAACAGTGGTTACCATTACAGTTTTGCAAGGAACTGGCTGTTAACATAGATAGAAACAAAGTAATTTTGTAAAAAGCCTTCTGCCTCTTCAGCATTAGTCAATGGGGCCTTCATTTTCAAAAATGACTCGTGTCTTTGGACCTCACATGAGATACACTTTACAGCAACCTGGCATTCAGAAAGTACTGAGTGTGTATGCCTTTTAAAGGTATTATAAATTTTGTATTAAAAAAAAATTGCAGTTCCTAAAATTTCCAGTCATGTTTGAGAATTGGAGTCTGGGCATGTATTTGTGGATTATTCTTTAATCATTCCACAGAGTTGTCTTAATATAAAACTACAAAAGACACCATATACTATTATTTTCAATTACATGGGAAGAAACAAAGGCCTACTAATTTGTCCCAGAGCTAGTTGAAATAAGGAACAGGACTTGTTCCCTCTATCTGAGCTTTGGCAAAACCTTCTGCATGCCTAATAACTTCAGGTGTTTCTTTTTTAAATGTCTTAATTTGAGCATCACAGAGTGGAGACATCCCAAATTGGTGAACGATTTTGAAAATCTTGGCGTTTATGTGTAGGGCTCTACAGGATCTTGGAAAGCGAAGATGACTGTAATGGGTGCAACAGGCTCCTTGTTGAAACCCATTCATATTTCTACAGAGAAATGCCCAGAGTTGTGAGGAACAATAACATTCAAGTCTTCTATAGTTCTCCTTTGAATGAAGAAAGGGCACAACAGTGGACCAACAGTGCAATCCAGAAGCCAATAGTGAGGAAACCCAGGAAAAATGCACAGAGGATTAGGGAATCTATGGCCAGTAGATAAGCCAAGATCTGATGAGAATGATTATTCCAAAGTCCATCAAAGTTAATAGGAGATTGTTAATTGACTTTGGATCAGATCTCTACTGGCCACTCTGTGTGTATATTCAAAGTCATGCCTTCTTCCTCCACTTTGAGACTTTTTTCCTTCTCCCATGTCCCACATTAAGGAGAATGTGTGCCAAAACAAGTACAAGTTTTTCCCCTTTACACAGAAGGGGATAATTTGGCCCTAAATGTTTTCCAAATATGATATCATATTGCCTAGGAAAGGCTATACACATTGGTAGGACTGTATGTCATACTGCTTCAGTCTGGAGCTAACACTAGCTCATTCCTCCATAGTATATACTGAGATCTTTCCAATGGGAGTTTTATTGCAAGCATGACAGTTGCTTTAAATTACAGAAGTTGGCAAGTGTCCGAGAAAAGGAGTGGGAGCTTGTTTAGCTGAGAAAGGCAGTTTGAAAACTTATTTGAAGCTTGATGTTCTTGAATTAAGTTTTCATGGTCAGAGACATACATTATTTGTCACCAAGACACATTATTTTGTTATTCTGAAGGACCTTAAAACACCAACACTTACCTGTCGGTTTGAATTTGCAACACTTATGGGACAACCCAAAGGAAACACATTATTTTTGTGGCAAACTTGACTATCCTTTTCTCCAAAGTAAGGTAAGTTTTGTAACTGGTTCTGTTTTGCTGTCCTAAATTCTTTGTAATGCACTGAATCAAGGGAACAAAAATATGGTGCCTTTGGAAAATGTAGATTGTTATTAGGGAATGTGTGATTACATTAGAAATCCACTGCTGTAGAGCTGCTGTTAAATCTGTTTACATATTCTGCCTAGCTTACAAGTAATGAACCTTGATGTTTATGAACATAATACTTCTACTAGGAGGTTTACAGACAGGTTATTAAAATCAAAGACAAAATGTAATGATCAAAATTATTTTTAAAAAGCCCATTTTTGCAAGGGTTTGGTCTAATTCAATTGTTTTATACTGGTAGACATTTTTCTGCATATTTAGTGTTAATCTTGCATTCCATCAACCCAAAGTAAAGATTTAGGGCTTTTTCTCATGAAGGATTCTAACATCAATCCAAATATTCACTTAAGCTTTGTTGCTGTGGTTTCCCATAAACTTGTTTTTCAAAAGAGTCTGTAAACACTGAATAAATCATTTTGCTTTAGGGGCATGGTTTTGCAAAGCAAAAGGAACTGTCTAAATGTATTCCCACAAAAACTTAATTAGATATTAGCTTACATGATAATCCTTTTTTTAAAAAATCAAAGCAACTAACCTACTATGCTGTCTTGATGTGTGTGCAGACAATTTGCTTTGTGTTTAGGTGCTATATCCAGTCTGGGAAGGCAGTTCACATTGTTGAATGAAATATGTTTTTAATCTCAGTAGTCGCACATAAACGTGCTCTGGGTAAGTGAGAAAGTAGAGGCATAAACAATAAACTGAGACTTTGTTTCCCCTAATTCTCCATTGTCCATTATTTGGACATTTATGAGGCAACAATTATTTGCATGCCAAGTGTTCCAAACAAGATATTCTGAGCAGTGTACAGTTTCCATAATCCACTCACTTGTGACCAAATGATTGATGCTTTCTTTGCAGGCTGAGGCTTTAGGGAAAATATGGGTGTGAGTGCAGTCCTACAAGCTGTGTGGAAATTTGTGGATGTTGGCTTTGGAGCAGGCTGGAGAAACAAAAACCTGCTGCAAAAGCCACCAAGCCACCAGGGCTACACAACATCACAGAGCTTCCCAGGAAAAGAAATTCCTTCTCCTCCATGGCATTACTTCAGCCTAACGTTCTACCTGTCCCATAGAAATGGGCTGTTCTTTTATGGCAACTTTCAGCTTTTAAAAAGAATGGACCCCTTAATGGGTGAAATTTAAAGGCCTACTGAGCCCTTAAAACTTTATAAACCCAGTTTCCTTGAATCTCCTACCCAGCCACCCACATTGCTGAGATAGGGCAGGCAGCTAGATGTTCTCAACTTGGGAAATGTCCTCACAGGGCTGTGGATTTGGGTCTTTGAAAAAAAGGCAGACTTGCCAATTTAAGTAGAAATGGGTTGGGGCATAGAAGTATCATACTTAAATACAAGACAAGGTTCCCCCTCCCCCCCACTATTGGCAAAAAGCCCCTCATATAATTGCATTCAAGGAAATCTCACTAAATAAATTGTCTATCATTAAATTGCTGCCAAAATCAGCATGTGCGAAGCAATGAAAACCAACTATAAAGCTGATTAAATACAGCCAACTCGGAGCATGACTATAAACCACGTGGCCCACATTGGGCAAACATGCTGATGGTGGGCTCTACCTACCACAAAAATAAGTTAGCGTAGCCCATCTGAATAAGACATATGTTAGTGCATATTAAGCGTATCCCTCATCACTGCCAACTTTTTTTCAAACCAGGGTGAACCACAACATTGCATATGGTTCACCCAGCATTGCCCCCTCTTTCAGCCTCACAAGTATGATTGGTGTGGCTCCACTCTCCATGAGGTGAAGCTGGACCCGGTTGTCCTGCACCTCCTCTGCATATAAATGTTTGGAGCATCCCAGGTCTTGTGATAAGAACACCTGGTTTGAGTCATGAATGAATGGACATTATTACATGGATCCTTTGTGGAGTACACACACACACATACTAAGTAGTGCTGAGCAATGGGATCATGATGGCTTGGAATGTTGTTGCCTCTAATAGGGCCCCACGCAGTTAAGTATGCAGTAAATCATGAGCCTTTGGTGATAACTAATTTCATGCAGATACTATGATGACCTGGGTGGTTTCCCCAGGGCAAGGCCTGTCCTTTGTAAATATAGCAGGTAATATTGCATTTCCTCATCAGCAGGGTCCTGCAAGGATTTAACCCCTCTCCTAGTCCTGTGCTGAGCTCTCAGTTGCCTCTGGAACCTTCTGCATTTCACATGAGGTGGAAAAGAGGGGATCTTTACACTGAGTAGCTTCATGTCTCACTTCCCTTGCAGATCTCCAAACTGGAGTCATCAGCCAAAAATAGCCTAGTTGAGTAACATCTGCTTACCTAGGGAAGAGCCCATTAGGGGTGTGCGAAACAGGCTGTATTCAATTCGCATTTGGATTCAGCTTGAATCAGGGACAGTGATTTGATTCATTGATTTGGATCACTGTCCCCAATTCGATCGAATCCGAATCTGAAGATTCAGGGAATCAGCAATTCGGCCACAGACACAGCTTTAAATGTTTTTTCTACATACCTCGAGCTACCAGGTGTAGCTCATGAATGCTATGATGCTGGGGCGGATGGAGTGTCCCATGGGAAGCGGGGGGCCCCATATGCTCGGCAGTGAACCCAGAAGTGGACCAGAAGTACTTCCAGTCCACTTCTGGGGCTGCCAGGGAGCACATGGGGCCCCTCCTGTGTCCCCCCCCAGCTTGGCAATCAGCCACAGGGGGACCCTGGGTGCCCCCCCAGATCCAGGAGGCACCAGTTGCAAAGCCAGGGGGGGCACAGGGCGGCTCCCCCACTTGGTCCCCGGTGGACCCGGAAGTGGACTGAAAGTGCTTCTGGTCTACTCCCAGGTCTGCTGCTGAGCACGCTGGGGAGCTGCCCACACTCCTGTGGGATGCTGTCTCCACCCCAGCATCTCAGCATTCACAAGCTGCCTGCTACCCTGAGGTTTGTAAAAAAGCATTTAAAGCTGTGCCTATGTCCAAACTTCTGAATCTTTCCAAATCTCTCCAAATTGATTCAAAGGCTTCCATTTCAATTTGGAGAAATTAAAGGGTCTCCTGATTCAATTCAGATTTGGAGATTTGGCCACTGAATCAGGCCGAATCTCCGCTGAATCGAATCAGGGACCAGAGCTTCACACAGCCCTAGCACCCATGTATGTTAGATGGCAAGTGTTTACTGAGCATGTTCAGTGATTACCCATTTCTTTGCCATACTTTTTCAACAGTCCATGAGTCTGAATGCAATTTTGATGAGGACGAGGACCATAAAGTCTGGTTCAATATCAGAGAACAGGGCAGCTCAAAAGTTGCATATTGGCATGATATGGTGGCCACCACAGAAAGGATATTTTAACTCACAACTCTTGTGGCTGTATATCTAGATGGCTTACAAAGCTTCAGTGGCTATCACAGGTGCCTTTTGATTTAGCAAATATGATAAAAAAATAAAGCAAATTGGGGTTTGCATAAAACTGGTATATACAAGCTCACGCTGTGCTGTCTTTTTTCCCATTGATGTGCATAACTGCTCAGGTTCAAATGGTATTTAAAGTAGAAGATGAAGAAGACTCTACATAAATAGTTCTATAATGGTTGGAATTAAGCCACAGAATCTCCCCACCCCATTCATTTTGTTAAAGTTGACATATACTGAATTCTCTGGGGCATACCTGCTTGTGGGTGTCTCAGATATCCTGAAAGCCAAATTCCAGGATAATTAAAAGTCCTAGCTCTTTCGCAGAGATCCAAATGTTTTTCCACATAGTGATGTTGACAACACACAAAGACATGCTGTCATTACATGATCAAACTACATCAACATACTTGAAAAGAGAGACATTGCAGACACAAGTATGCTACATTAGGGAGGCTACTAAAAGCTAAACTTGGAGGGGCAATCAAATCCAAAAATCTAAATCCTGCATGTAGATTAAAAGGCAACAAAAACTAATTTTAGCTTTGGTGATTTCTAGAGGCCACCTGACTCAGCTGTGAGATAAGACAAAATGTATGTTATTTGCCGATGTGAAATGTTTGTAAACCTCAAGGACAGCAAAGCAAATGAACTGATTGCTTTGACACAAAACTATGAAAACTTTTAGTTATACAGGAAAATAAAAGCTGTTGTAGAGATATTTACTGGTAATATTTGTTTTAGTTATAATCTGTTTCTGCAACTGTCAGCCAAATGTATCCTAATTAATCCCTGTTAATAGGCACTCCAATTTAAAAGGCACAATATTTAGGAACAAGGATATGAATATATTAATTGATCTTACTGTAGAACTGAACAATTGAAAAGGAAGATACTATGTCCACTGAGCTGCTTTAATCATCTAAGGCAGTGGTTCTCACCCCTTGTTAGACTTGAGGCACCCCTTGAAAAATGTCAACTCTTAATTTTCACCTATTTTTTTACTAAGAAAAAATAATAGAGCAATTCTTCTGCACAGAGAACTGGGAAATACCACAACAGGTTGAAATATTTTTAATGCTATGGATTCATTTTTTAAATCTCTCAGTTTATATTGTGAATCATGTTGTACACCTAATAGTGCAAATATTGTGTGGCACACTGTGTCATCCTTGTGAAGATCTCAAGGCACCCTGTGATGCCACAGCATCCTGGTTGAGAATCACTGGTTTAGAGTGTAGACAGATAAAAAAGTACCAAATTAAAAGATGGAGACAGATTTATGATATATTAACTGATGTGCTGCAGCTGTTGTGCATGTCCATGCAATCCCTTAGTAAATGGAAGCTGAACCAGGGTATTTTATCCCTAAATGAAACAACTGCTAAATTAACTATGAGAGAAGTTTTTAATTCAATGTTGAGTATCTTTGCCTCTCCAAACCTCTCGGAATTATCACTTCCAGGGTCAGTGGGTTTCCAAATAACAAATTCTTGCTACATTGTGATCT